TTTTCATTTTGTTTTCTTTTATTGAAGATTATGCCATCAACTATGCTTGGAATGGTCTACTGATATTGTCCATGGATTGCAGCAGTCATGGGCGAACAAGAGGGTTTTCCTGGAGGACCCCAGATTCCGACACTTTTAACCCAGCAAAGGATTCATATCTCTCGGATAATTTGGGAAGGACATGTATGAACTTTGCAAGAATATTCAAACGTATAGTAATAGGATGAAAATGCAGTTATCTTGAAGTTTTTATTATTCACAATTAGTTATTATTGATTTTCAGGAGAGGAACCCACCTCTCAAGACTGATGAGATGATGACTCCTATAAATGGCTGGCATTTGGAGAATGATGAACATATTGACTTGGTGAAAACTATGGGCTTTACCCCATTGTCTATGATTGTTGAAAGGTGGTGCAAGGAGAAAAGTAGTTTTCACTTCAATCCTTCTATTGGCGAGATGATGCCAGCACTAGAACCATTCCCAACTTGAACAAGTCTCTTCCTCAGCCACTACATAATCTATTGGGTACATACCCTTGTTTGCATCTATACCAATTGCGGACAACAAGATTCCATGGTATGGCCCTGTCAAAAAGATTCCATCTAACCTTATCAGTGACCTGCACCAATACATAAAACCATGTTTATAAGGCCTGTAGGCCACAAATATTCGCATGAATTTATCGTGGTCATCTTTCTGAATGTACGTTACAGTTTCAGGGTTAGTGCTTTGGAGCTTATACAAATAGTAGGAGATGTTTGCATATACCTTCTCATGTGAACTATCTATCATCATCTTTGCAGCCTCCTTGCCCCGCCACACCTGTTGATAAGAGAGTATGACGCCATGTTCACACTGAATATCATTTATAATATCATTTAGTGTTAAACTAGGCTGGTCATGCAGCTGATCCTTGATCTTTCGTGCCCATCACTCTCTTTGAGTCGTCGATTGATGAGCCCTACCTATTGCACCACGACATGAGTGAACATTTATAGAACTCCTCACCCTAAAGTATTTCGTCTTATCAACTTGAGAATAATGAACTCACCATGAGCATCCATCTATCGTAGACTTCTCCCATACAAGTCCTTCCTCACTTTTTCTGAATATTAAGACAAAATTCTGAGATGTGGCGTAATCAACACGATGGTTACGATACATGCGTACATTATCAAAATCTTGTCCTTGATGAAGTGGTACTTCATAATGGTCTATTCTTATGGGGCTTTCTATCGGATCAAAGTCGTCGATATCATGCTCCTTCTCTGTCTCAGATTCATCATCTAGACCTATAATAGCACTTTAATTGCCCCTGAGTTCCCCACCCACAAATTCCCCAGACCTGCTGCAAGAAAGGAAGGTTCAATTGTATAGAGCTTTTAGTAAATCAGTGCATATAACACACCTACATTAAAAGTAGAAAATAAAGAAAAATAGTTACTTAACTGTCTGATGATTCATTGCTGACCGTTGAAGGTCTATTTCTAGACAAATCATTTGATTGATGTGATATGTACATATCAATGAGATAAGACCTTTCCAACTTGCACGCAAGATCACTATTGTCCCTCACATCTACCATAGACAAAATGACTCGGTAAATCGGGGTCATGATATTGAATTGTCATAGTTTTAAGGTCATTTTGCATAAAATTCCTCAAATGTGCTTAAGTTGGTCAAAGAAATTGTTTCGCGGAAAGAATATCACCTTCACCATTCCTCCATCATAGAAAAGATGCCCATCATTTTGCTTTAGACATCCATCAAAACACAAAGTCAATTTCACTTTCCCATCACTCATTGTTAATCCCTAGCAAAGATGAATAGGCAGTAAATGAGACAAATATACAATAGAGCGAAGAACAATTAAAGAAAATGAATCTTACAAAGAGAAGTAGTAATTGATTACTTTTACATTACCTACATACATAAATCACAACCATATGCATTACATAATCTACTAAAAATTGCAATATCACAGTTAAAAAACATAGCATTTAAAATTGTGAAAAACATTGAAGATAATCCAAGGTTATTGGTCAACGAAAGAAAAAAAATAAAATTACATGGCAAACCAGCGTAATCAGCATTTAGCCCATAGACAAGTGACCAAGATTAGATCTATTTCGGCAAAATAAAAGTACTGACATTAAGTATATAAACAAACAAACAAAAAAATATTCTACCACCTAAAATTTTTACTAGATTCTTTCAATAGTGAAATTTGAACTAAAATCATATGAAAAAAGTTAAGCAAAGGGAACCAAATTTGAGTAAAATTTGATGAAATGGGCAAATTTTTACCGGCATCCCAAAGGTATTTTACAGATAATTAACATAAAATTGTGAATGCTAAGAAGATAAAGTCGTTGACCTTGATCTTTTCCTGGGGCAGGAGATGTGTGGGCCAACTGATGTGTGCATAGGAGAAAATAAAGTCGCTTACCTTGATCTTTTCCAGAGGCCGGAGATGTGTGGGCCAACTGATGTGTGCATAGGAGAAAATAAAGTTGCTTACCTTGATCTTTTCCAGAGGTAGGAGATGTGTGGGCCAACTGATGTGTGCATAGGAGCAGTAGAAAGAACCGTTCAAAGAGAATGTATATGGTAGAACCGCTCGAAATTGTAGTAAATGGGGGTGAAAGAGTGCCATAGACTTACGATAGCCATGGCGGTTTTTGGTGCCAAAATTTGTTGCCAAGAAAATGGGACGAAAACATGGGAGGAAACCTCGGCTTAGCGCCACAACTATGGCAAATCCGTGATGACCGCCATGGTTTTTGTAGAGTCGTGACGGTTTTGGTCGCCACGGACTTGACATAGCTATGGCGGGGTTAAAATCGGAATAAAAAAAGAAGAAGTTAAAACGGGGATATAGATGTATATAATGTAAAATGGAGATAACTTTGAAATTTAACCATCTTTGAGAGATATATCTGATAATTTCCCTGTTTAATTTGAAAACAATCTTGTAGAATGACATCTTACTTATTTTGTTTAATGCTATGGGAGAGTATTTGATAAGATCATTTGCTTATTGTACAAGGAGGTTACAATCAAGACCAACTAGTGATAGAAAAAAACAGATCGGTAAATAGGATCAGGCATCGCAAAAATCAATTTGGATCGGTGAATTAGCAGTTTGGATCGTCGTTTTACTGTGCAAAAAAAAAGTGCAAAGACAGTAAACTAGCCAAAAACCAGTAAGGAATCGACATTTTTACTGTAGCAATCAATATTTTTTTACTATAGCAAATGGTGTTTTACTGTAGCAAATCGCCGGTTCTCTTGTAGACTTGGATGATATTGATAATTGGCATGGGGTGACCGATTTCTGAGTCGGACCGGGCGATTCCCAGCCAACCCAGCGTTTTCTAAATCACTGCTACCAACCATTGGATTTTAAATTGGACTGTCCATTGACTTGGCTCGAATTCCAGAATAATTTTTATTTGATATTTGTAACATAACCAAGCTATGAAAATTGATATCGCATGGGTAGGGTTGATTGTGGCTTCTTTGTATAATAAGTAAATAGTCTTATATACAATCCCTAATTATGTTTAGAAAAAAAATATACAATGAGACTATCTTCCTTTGATATAAGGGGTTACGATTAACCTTGACCATTGGAAGTGAAATTGAGTGGTTGCATTTATTCCATTGACCAAGTTCAATGTTCAAATTTTTTTTCTCGAACATAGTGGCACACCGAAACTATTAAATTTCACATCGGATAGTTGTAAGTAAATGTGACTTCCTTATACCAAAGGTAGATGGTCTCATTGTATACGATTCCATATATTTAAGCGTATCTTCATAATGTTGCAACAAAAAAAAACTTTATACTATTGAAGTAAGGTGTACATCTAAAATCCTCTAAAAGAGAATATTCTGACGTTGGAGAACCCTCTAATTGGCTATCTCAACCTCAAGATGTATGGATATGAAAAACAAAAAGAACTCATGTCATAAAAAAGTGCATCTTATAATGAATTATCTTGACTCTCTATTTTCAAGTATTTATAGATATGCCCAATCTGTACCCTTTTTTCGATTTAAAATTTTTATAACGGTATAAAAATAGATTTTCAAGCCGTTGGAAGATTTTCAACATCAGAACTACCGCTCCAAGTAAATTTTAGATATGCACATTGAGCAGCTTGTACAAACTTCACCACTTTATGAATAAATAAAATGTCAAACAGTGTTGCAAGAAGCAGAGTTAGCAGAGTTTTAAAACCCAACTGGGTACATGATTCGTTTTAGTTGCCACATATGACCCGACGAATCAGACCAGCTGACTTGGGAAAAATATCAAAAAAAAGAAGAGAAATTTATCAAAATAGTCATAAGAGATGAATTATTCAACAATTTATCCTTTTAGAACAATTCAAATTCAAGACAATGCGTTATTTTATGAGTATTTTGAATTAAGTGAAAACATGTGGATAAATTGTTAAATTGTTAATCTCTCATGATTAATTTGATAAATTTTCCGAAAAAGAAAAAAAAATGAAAAACTCTAAAAAACAGAAAAGCAACAAGAAAAGAGAAAAAAAATTCAAAAATTAAATAAAAAATATAATGATAAAATTAAAAACATATTTTCCATTTTATCTTGAGGGAACTGTAAATAAAAATTAAAATCAAGAATTAAAATAAGAATGCTTTTAGAAAGATATGGCATAAAAAAAAAGTGAAAGAAACAAAAAATCAACTGGGCAAATTTGAACTAATTCGATGAAATAACTAGTAAGATATCGAGTAGTTTCGATTTAAGTTAAAAAAAAAAGCCCCAAAATTTCGACTCTAGATCTCTTCCAACAAGGACTTGATCCAACAAATCACAATAGGCATTTGCTAGATGGATCAAATACAAACAAATTGAATCTAATTTCAAGTTGTCTTGGACTTTGAGAGAGAAATTCAAAGAAGGGAGGATAGCTATTTGGGAAGAACCACCTAGCTTTGGTTTTGAGTGATCCCTTTATCTCCTACAGGGATTTAAACAAATACTTCTCATTACCTTGTTCTCTTTTTCTATTTTTAAAAATACTCAAAAGAATATTTTATTTCCATCGGAAACTATGTGCCTGCTTAGAGTTCATAAGATTTTCATTAAAAAATCTATTTGAAATCAAAATTTAATGAGTCTAAACTTGTTTCGGATAAAACTTGATCCAAGTATAATCAAATTGACCAATTTGGGGGCTCAAATAGATATGAATTGAATAATCATCATCATTATTAAAACTTTTTTCCAATTATTTGAAATCCGCATAAATAGATTTGGATCGAATGTTTGTTAGTAAAGTAGAGACACGGCCAGGGCATTTAATAGTACGAGTCGGTCGGCGATTTCAGTATCCAGCGGAGCTTTAAAACCCTAAATATACGTTTTCGCTCTCAAAGTTTGTAACCTGTAACGGAGCAGTGGGTTTGATCAGCGCAAGGAGCAGAGAAAATGGGAGTTGAGAAGGAGGTGGTGCGACCTGGAAGTGGCCCTAAACCCGTTGCCGGCCAGAATGTCACTGTTCACTGTACCGGATATGGTCAGGTTTTATCCTTTTCTTCATTCAACTTTATGATCCTTATAAGTATTGTTCTAAATATTTTTAATTATGTTTATACATCATTTATTGGTATATTCTAGGTTTTGTGGATTACAAAACTTTGTCTGTGTGTGTGTGTGTCTCTCTCTTTTTCGTTTCCTTTGGTTGGATGTAGCTTTCTTCTGTTTATGGTATTTGATCTTTGGAATAACAGAAATAGGGTTATGCAAACATGAATGTACTCCTATGCCTACAATTAATGAAAATTAATCTTATTTGCCTTATTTTGTTTGGGTTTTGAAGAAACTGCCTTGAATTTATAGAGAATCGGTTTTTTTGCTTTTATCTTTTGAGAATTCAACGGCAATAGATGATGCTAAAGAAGAGGAGAAAAACTGATTTAGTTATTAGGGTTTCTGATCGTTGATACTGGGGTTTGGTATGCTGACTTGGTGGTTAGGGCTTTAGGTACAAGGACTAAGTTGCCGATGTTTCTTGTAATGCTACTTCTACAATGGAAATTATAAACGATGTTGGTCCTAAGTCTTGATGATAAGTTTGACATTTCCAAAAAAGAAAAGAAAATCTGAATGATAAGCCCATGATTCCAAACTGCATTTCGTTCATCCCATAGGTGCTTTAGTGAGCTAATAAAGGGCTACAGTTTAATGTTAAAATCTCATCTATCATGATAACCAAGTGATAGATGTGGCCATGGTATCTATGATGGTTTCTAATTGGTCCGATTTTATCCTATTTTGGGTTGATCGTGATATCAATTTATGAGACCTACAAACAAAGGAAAAGAAAAGAAAGAGAAAAGAAGAGGTAGAAAAATCAAATGGCATGCTCATTTTGCTTGCATTGCCAATAGGTAATGTGACATTAACATTATAGTACATAAATCTTAAGGCTCATTTTAATTATACAGTTAATTCTTGATGCTGCACTGCAAGTGGAATGGACACCGATTGGGGTTTTGTGACTCTATGGATCGTGGACATGGAAATGATAATGTCATGATGTGAAATTTGTAATCTCAGAGGAAGAAAGAAAGAAAAAGATTATTTGGACTAAAGTTTAAAACTTTAAATTTTATGGTTGAGAAATTTATATGCTTGACTTACAAAAGCTAGTGATTTGTGGTGTGTTTCGGTTCCTTCAAAATTAAGAAATTGTTTCAGTTATGTCTAATATTGCTCTTGATTTGTTCTTCAAAATTTTGAAATTTTTATGACTGCGGTTTATCTAGCACTTGTTTGTACATTGTCTATAGAAATTCGCGGTATGATTGAAAATAGTAATCTGGTAATCACATGAGACCTGTTTTGAAGAGCATGATATATTTGCAAGTTCAGTGTTAAATATGGAGATATATTTTAGGCTTCTCTCATTGTGAATAAGCAATTTGTCTCTTAGGGGCCGTTTGGGTACATGGAAATCTATTACGTGACAATAGATTACAAGGAAATATGACATTTACACTGTTTGGGTACACTTACAAAGAAATGTGACACATTTACATTGTTTGGGTACACTTTAATAGTAAGGAAATAGAAAGAGATTATGAGATTACCTAAATCTATTACGCGCGGTGAGGGGTGAAAAATCTATTACGAGGTTGATGGGTAATCTTTGGAAAAATCTTTCGCTCTGCCCTATCTTTGCTTAAAAAAACATTTCTCTCTCTCAAGTATATGTTGTATCCTATAATTATTAGGATAAGTAGAAAGTGAAAGTAAGGGATATGAAAAGGGGAATCTAAATTGATTTAAACAGGTGTATGAGGACAATTTTCTACTGCAATCATAATAAAAAATTTCTATATCCCTCCCCTCCCTCCCCAATTTGGTTCTACATCCCTCCCTAGCCCTCATCTGACTCTCATGTAAAAACAAATTTCTAGCCCTCATTTGACTTATATAAAAACAATTTTTTTTAATAATTGGTAGGTGAAAGCAAGGGGAAATCTAAATTGATTTAAACAGTTGTAGAACTTTGTGAGGGACAATTTTCTACTGCAATCATAATAAAAAATTTTCTACATCCCTCTATCACCGATTTGGGTTGTAGCCCGCCATCAGTTCTCATATAAAAGCAAAAATAATAAAAATAATAACTGGTAATCGATGAGAAATTATACAACACAATCATAATAAAAAATTTCACACAGCATAATCCTTGTAAGAGATTAGTAAAAGCTCAATTGAAATAAAGAGGACCTCTTTAGTCTCCTCCAATGCTTCAAAATTTTCTACTGCAATTACCAAACTTTCTAGTTACAAATCAAACTTCTTCCCATTTTTTGACTTGTACTATAAAAATAAATTTGATTTTGGTATCATAAATTTATTGCTTATTTGAAATTATATATAGAGAGACATTTGAAAGGCTTCTATAAAAAATAAATAAAAATAAGGCTTATCACAATAAAATCATGTTATTCAAATCATATTATTCCAATGACTTATCATGTTAAAACCAAAGTCTAATCATGTTAGCCAAACATAGCCATATTTTTCATATTTGGACGGTAATGCATTTCTCATATTTCTTCCATACATAGCCAAACAATAGCAATGTATTTCCCAAGTTGCATCTAAATACTACCCAAACAGTGACAATCCATTTGCATGTAATGTTAATGTATTATGCAATAATGTATTACGCCTGTAATATAGTTCACAAACAATATATTTCCAGGTATCCAAACGGCCCCTTAGCTTTGTCGTCTTTAATTTTCTATCAAGTGTCAGTCCCTTTATGGAACATGCGGTTCCTTTAATTCTTCCATAAATATTATACCAATGGCCTATTTCAATGACAAATAATTTATCTGGAATAGACTATCTAAAATTAATATACACTTTAAATGATATTATTTAGTTAACTGTTTTCTATGTATCTTGTATTATGTAAAAAATTGTTTAATTATTTAACATTTTAAGCAAGTTCCAGCTATTTTAGCTATTTCTGCCCCAAAAAATGTGATTTTCAACAAATTATTGTGAATAAAGTAAACCTTGCTTCTTCAAAATGATAAACCTATATGTATATGCCTATAAGTTATTCTTAGATAACTTTGTGATGGACATGGTCAAACAATAGATAATGCATTGTCAGGATTAGTTTTATTAAGAACAGTGAATTATCAGTGATAATGAGTACGTCCAAGGAGGCCCCAATATCGTTGATATTGTGATGATTATGCAAGGTGATTAGGTTATGTTAGTATTTTTGAATTTGAGAAATACTATTGTGTATTTCAAAATAATATACCTTCATATGTTGCATTTACCAATGTTGTCAGGACCAGATAGGTGCAAAACTGGTGAAGGCACCGGTTCGGTTGGACCAGCTGAACCGGACCGGTTCACAGATCAGTTTGGTCTCAATGTTAAAATATGTAAACAACCAAAAGCAGCCCAAAAAATATTAGGGTTTTTCCTTTTTTCTATATTTTCAGGTAATATTTTGAGAAAAGGTCAAATAGATAATGCCTTCAAACTAGCAACAATGTGAGAGGACATTTTTTCTATATTTTTATGTAATATTTTGAGAGAAGATAAAAAATATGCCTTCAAACTAGCAACAATGAGATAGGAGAAGTGTAGGGATCTATATCATATTAGATGCATTAAGAGTGAGGATCAAATGATCCTTGTGAAAACTGACAGAGTCAATAAAAGGTGGAGAATTTATTTTAAAAAATTGTTAAACAATGAACATAATGGGAGCACAACATTAGGAGGAACCTTTGTCATAAACGAGGGTGGAGATCAATTATATTCATAGGATTAGGGCTTCTAAAATGAAAAAAACTTTGAGAAAGATGAAGATAGAAAAGGTTTTATGACCAGATGGTATCCCGATAGAGGTTTAGAAGTACAAGGGGGAGATTGGCATATAGTAGCTTACCACGCTATTCAACAAGGTGTTGAGAACAAAGAAAAAATGCTCGACAAATAGAGAAAAAGTACTGGGGTACCTATTTACAAGAACAAAGGACACATACAAAATTATATGAGCTATCGGGGATTAAATTTATGAACCACATTATGAAGATATGGGAGAGTGGTTGAGAAATGGCTAAGGCGTGAAACTTGGTGTATTAGAAAATCATTTCGGTTTTATGCCAGGGAGGTCAATTATTGAAGCCATTCTCCTACTTAGGCAATTGATTGAGAAGTTTAGGGCGAAGGAAAAGACCTCCACATGGTCATTATTGATTTAGAGAAAGCATACGATAGGGTACCTAGGGACTTAATTTGCGGGGTGTTGGAAAAAAAAAGAGTCACCGGAGGCTATATTGACATAGTGGGAGATCTGCACGAGGAAGAGCTAACTAGTGGAGAGACAAGTGAGTTCTCAATGACAATGGGCTTACATTAGAGGTCAACGCTGATCCCATATCTCTTTGTTTGGGTTGTAGACGAGTTAACCTAACACATACAAGACGAGTTTCCTTGGTGTATGTTGTTCGTGGATGATAGTTTTGATCGATGAGACTAGAGGCCGCATCAACACAAAGATAGTTGGAGGGATGCTCTAGAATCTAAAGGTTTTTAAAATTGCGTGGATTAAGACATAATATATGGAATGCAAGTTTAGTAATAATAAAAGTTGAAAAAAGAAAGTAGTTAAGCCTGATGGTTAAGAAATACCTAAAAGAGATTGTTTCTGATATCTAGGGCTGATAATCTTGGAGAATAGAGAGATTGAGGAAGATATCACACAGAATTAAAGCTGGGCAGGCGAAGTGGAGATGTGCGTCTGGAGTTTTATGTAATCTCTGTATATCATTGAGACTGAAGGGGACGTTCTATTCGATGGTTGTAAGACTAACCATGCTTTATGGAACATAATGTTTGGCGGTCAAGAAACATCATAACTATAGGATGAACGTAGCTAAGATGAGAATATTGAGATGGATGAGTAGCAAGATAAAAAAAGATAGCTTTCAGAATGAATTCTTGTGAGGGAATTTAGGTGTTGGCTTCAATGGGCGATAAGATGAGGGAAAGTAGATTTAGATGCGTTGGCCATGTGCAGCGTAGACATAAAACAACATCAGTTAGGACGTGTGATTTGGTTCAAGTGGAAGGCTCTAAAAGAGCAAAAGAAAGGCTTACAAGGATATGAATAGAACTAGTGAGAAAAAATATGGCGACTTTTTTTTTTACTAAGGGTATAACCCTTGATAGAGAAGAATGGAGGAACATGATTCATGTAACTGGCTCCAAATAATTGGGATAAAACTTGGATGATTAGATGATTTTGAAAGGCTTTTTTAAATTGTAAAAGCCCTTCAAAATAACTTAAAATTGAAACTGAAAATGAAAAACAGAATACAAAATTGTAAAACCCTAACTCTTAATTTCTTATGGACCTTAATCCAACATGGCAACATAATTTCACATTATTTTCGTATTTTTTAAACTTTAAAATAGTAAAATATTAAATATTACTAAATACCAAATAGCAAATATTAAAATAAACAAAAAATAATTTGATTGTTGAAGCTGACCAAATCTAGCTAAAGGACTACCGCTTGAGGTTTGAAAGTTGAGCGAGCGAGAGAGAGAGAGAGAGAGAGAGAGAGAGAGAGAGAGAGAGTAGTAGTAAACCTCTGCTTTCTCTCTCCTAATTTCTCTTTCTTATAGAAACTTACCCATTATGTTTTAATTTTACCATTTTACCCTTACATATATTTAATAGCACGAACAACCCCCCCCCCCCCCCCCTTTAGACTCTTTTCTTCTTATAAAGAACAAAAATGATGCCCCAAATTTGGACCAGCGGATTCACTTTTGGACCGGTGGACTAGCCAGTCTAGTTATTGGGCTGGCCGATTCACCAGTCAGCACCAGTTCAAGTCCCTTCCCGGCTCATTGCTTGAACTGGACCCGAACAAGCACCGGTTCACTAGTCGAACCGACCAGTCCGGTCTGGTCCTCACAACATTAGTTTTTCCTAAGTTTTTAATAAATAGAGGGAGTGGCAGATTTTTGTCCCACATTGAAGGAGAGAGTGAGAATCAAGTGGTTTTAATATGGAAACACTCTCACGCAATGGGCACGCGCATGCGCTTCGTGTGAAAGGGTGCAAGAGTGCTTGATGGTGGTTGTTGGGTTTCCAACAGCAACAGTCATATACAGTAGTGAACAAATACTATTGTTCAAATGAACAGTCACCTCCAAAAGCCACTAAAAACTCTTTAAAATGGGATTCTCCCAATTTTTTTCACTTTTCTTTTACTTACTCTCCCATATTCTCTCTCAATCCACATTGATTTTCTCTCTTTAAATTCCAACTCTTTTTCTCTCCATTCTGGAAGATTAGTCTAGTGCATACAATAGCCTTCTCGTTTATGTACACAGAACTCGGAAGCGAATTGAGACCTTTTGTTTTCTATATCCCAGGGACAACTTTACCCATTCTTGTGTTTTCTTGTGCACACTCTTTGCAGTATAAAACGGGCAAACATTGTCTTGAGAAAGCACTATTGCGTGCCCCAGAAAACATGAAGGATTTAGCATATTTTCTGCCCCCATTTCACCTACAGTATTTCTAGCAGGTTATTTATATTTATTTCTTGGTATCGCATAATTAAATATGAAGCATTCTTGCAATTATCACTGTGGTCTATAGATGTTCTGGATATCATATCCTGTCAGGATGATATGAGTATTGTGCTTCCTATTTGTTTTTTTTTTTTTTGTTTATTTATTTTAGAAGGGTTAGCTGTTGTTATGTATGTACTAATTATTTTCTTTTTCACAGGTAAAAATCGTGACCTCTCTCAAAAGTTCTGGAGGTAAGGCTTGTATTTCTCATGCTCAAATTTATTTGTCACTAATTTAATTTTTCTTGCAAGATGATGCTAGCAACTTATGTGCCAACTACTTTTCTAACTGAAAAGACAATTTATTTGTTGTATGACCTTTGAAATGTATTGCAGTACAAAAGATCCTGGACAAAAACCTTTTTCATTTAAGATTGGCCAAGGATCTGTCATTAAAGGTTAGTTAATAGTATTTCCTTTTCTTTTTTTGGGTAGAATAGTGTTTCCTTTTCTTGATTTTACGGTAAACCAATAATAGTTCTTTGACATTATGGGTTAAATTTTAACTGCATATATATGGATCCATTTCGAGGGTCTTATTCTTACTAGCGTAACCAAATGTGTCATTTAGTTGATCGTTATTTTCTCTTCCTATTTGAATATACACATTGAGTGCTACTTATGAAAGAGAAGAGCGGGGCCTTCTATAGAAAGAATAGAATCTAAGAGGCTCTGCCGCTCCTAAAGGCAGTGAAAGAAGAAGGTTAGGTTAGATATACGCGATGGGAAGCACTTTCCTGCTGCCTGCCGTCTGGACCTTGATTCAACAACTGGTCTCTTCCTATTTGAATATACACATTGAGACTATGTTCTGACTCGAGGGTACTACAATGGCATCACTACTGGTGTTCTCTTTTTGATTGATAATAATTACACTTCTACTCCATTTGGATGTCCACTTTTTTAACCATGGCAATAAAATTCTCCGTCATCGCACGTTTGATTTCTAGAAGTGGCAACTCCCACAGCCATAATGGCAACTCCCAGAGCCATCTCTTCCACACAATAGTGTTACACAATTTTTGGAAGCTGCAGCTTCCATCAATGTTAAAAATGGTGTTGAAAAGTGGAAGTGGCAGCTTCCATAGCAGACCATGGACACATGGAAGCCACCAGTTCAACTTCCTTGGAAGACATGGCTTCCAAAGCCATGCCTCCCAAAAGTCTAACATGCCATTATAGATTATAGTAGTGCCTAAATGGGTGGGTGTGAGCTTGGCATGCCGCTATTCAAGGGCGTAATTTCAGGAATGTAACTATGCTTACTGGCAAAATGCTGCCAATAACCGGGTTTTGTTGACTCTTTGACATTATCAGCCTAAACTTGGATATTCTTACAAGGCACTACAACCATTTAAGTGTTTCTATTTTCCTAACTGTATAGGCAGATAAAGATGGCTGTAATGATGTCCAAACCATGCGTTAGAGTATCGCTGATTGCATTTTGGATTTCTAATTTTTGCTACATGTAAGATTTGCATTCAACGATTTATTTTGAAGAAAGAGGAGGACTGGAATGAGCTTATAGTCGTTTGAGTGGATTATAGACAGTTATGCAAGGGTGATGAAGGTTGGTGCCTTAAACAATCAAAGTAAGGTGCACTCTGAAAGGATGCCAAAAGATGCGGTTCAAGTGCCTGAAATCCCTAAAATGGTCCGCAAATCTATTTTCATATCTAATTATGAAATTCAAAACTTCAAAAATAGTGTAAAATAGAGCAGATCTACAAACATTTGAAAATCTTGGAAATAAACGGTGTGAATAATACCTTACAAGATGCACTATTACCAAGGCTTCAAATCCTTTTTTTTTACATCTATACATCTCGAGGTCACGATGATCAATTGGAGGGTTTTTCAGCATCAAACAGCCTTTTCTGTTGAGTTTGAGGTGCACATCGTTTCTATATAGTATAAGGTTGACACCTTAACATGGAATGCTCTCTAGAAGTTAGAATTTTGAAATCATACATTTCGCACAAGGAAGCAGGAAAGTGTTTCACAATCGTTCTTGTGGTAGCAATCACTTTGTGGTAGCAATCACTTTGGGTACTTTTTATTGTTTAGGGCCATGTAACCATTGGGCAAGTCTCAAGTTATATAAATGGATTGGGCAAGTCTCAAGTTATATAAATGAATTGGGCAAGTCTCAAGTTATATAAATGAATTGGGCATAAGTTAGTGGAAGTTTTTCCTTTTCCAATTTTGACCCTAGGTTCTCCGATGTTTCTCAAACTGTAGGTATAATCATATATAGATGATAAACATTCTTCCGAAGTTCTGTTGAAATTGTTGAGTGAGCTTGGAAGATTTTGTGGAAGTTTTTCCTTTTCCAATTTTGACCCTAGGTTCTCCGATGTTTCTCAAACTGTAGGTATAATCATATATAGATGATAAACATTCTTCCGAAGTTCTGTTGAAATTGTTGAGTGAGCTTGGAAGATTTTGAATTGGAGTATTCTGCTGCCACTCATCATCATATCAATGATGAAAAAGTATTGGCAATCAAGGTTTAGTAACTATGAATTATTGAATGCAATTTGAAGTAAAAGGCCTCAGGTTTGGGCTGCATTATGGAGGGGCTCATTTTGTCCTTGTTCTTCCAATATTGGTAAGAATCATATGATCATATATGCCCATTGTTTGTTGGAGCCTTTCCCAATGGAGCGGGTAAGCAAAAATGCCACTTATCCCATCTATTTTACAATGATATGGAAATATGCTCAGGGCCTTTTCAGATAGATGTTGACTGTCCAATGCAATGCAGCGTATTACAGAGTCATTCTAAACCATCGGGCTGACAAACACAGCCATAGGGTGTTGAAAGGTAATGATCTCCTTACGAACCTAATGTCTTAGGTAATATGATCCACTAGAAGCAATAAACATAGAGATGCACTCTCCATTGAGATTAAACACCCTAAATGGTAGATTAGTGCATTATGCCAAATCTGTATGAATGGTTCCACTACAAATAAGGATGTTTTCTTCTTCGTGTTGTGTTCCTTGCTCCTAAAGGTTTCATGGAGACACAGATCTTTAGAGTTCTTTCCATCGACCATTCCGTTTGTCAATTCCCTCAATTGGGTAGTTGTGGCTAAATGTGTTGTGCAAGGTATTTATTTGTATTCCCTACAAAAAATTCTGTAAAATGGGTTGTATAGCTAAATGTGTTGTGCAAGGTATTTCTTTGTATTGCCTACAAAAAATTCTGTAAAATGGGTTGTATAGCTAAATGTGTTGTGCAAGGTATTTCTTTGTATTGCCTACAAAAAATTCTGCAAAATGGGTTGTATATAATGCTAAAGAATGCATGGAATCAGAATGAACTTTCACTTACATGGAGCCTTTCTCTTTTTAGCAGTTTTGAGAAGCATAAATTTAATAAATAAATTATAAAACAATGTTTTTAAATTCTCTGGCATAAAACACTTTTTTCTTTTATGTTTTTCTTTTTTATGTTTTTAATATTATCCTTTTATAATCTTTTGAGTTTTCTATATTATTTTTATATCATCATCATCATCATTATCATCCAAGCCTTGTACCAATTATTTGGGGTCGGCTACATGAATCCTATTCCTCCATTCTTCTCTATCAAGGGCCATACCCCCAGTAAGGCTAAACACCACCATATGCTTTCTCACTATTATTTTTACATATTAATTTAGAAAAATACTATTGTTTTTCCAACCTAAAGTACTAAACATCTGTAGCATGTAATTAGACACCGATACCCCATTTTTGTTTTTATTATTATATGTATATGGATATATATATGTATATATACAAAAATAACTATAATTATTAATTAAAAATAGCAAGAATATGGTTGTAATATTTTATTAAATATCATACTTATTACACAAATAATTATAATTATAGATTGTATTATTATAAATGTAACTATATATTATTAATAATATTATTATAAAAATATATTCCACATCAATTTTATTATTTTTGGAGATACTTTTGGTCAGCATTATAAATGTGACCAGTATGTGTATATGAATAATAATAATTATACTTTGATAATTAAAAAATACAATAATTCATTTAGTGTAATGAAATTAAATATAGTTTGATTGGTCATAGATATAACAATTATGTTATACTATTAGAATTTTAACTAAATAATATTAATCCTCATATTAGTCTATTTTAATAATATATGAATAATTATATAATATAATTTTATTTTTATAAATAATAAATATTACTATAATTGAATTAATAACCATAATAATATCCTTTCAATGTTATTTAATTTGATATATTAAAATTTTAATTTATTCATTTCACTAAATTTATGTTTATTCAATCAAATAGTATTTCAATCATAGTTGTTTTTTTTATGACAAGTTTTTCATCCGTCTTTCACTATGAAAAGTATTTCATGGCTCTTTCGCTTTCTCCCTACATGTGTGAGAAACTATTACTTATTAGTTTAATTTTTATTTCATTCTATGTTTTCATTGTAGATTTTGTAATTTTATTTACCTTATGAAATTTTATTAAAGAAATATTACATGCAGAACATTTGAATAATACCTGCAACGCTGGTGCATGCTACTAATATATATGTATATATGGGTTATGTAAGGGTGCTCACACTATGAAACATTGTGCTCAAACAAATTTTGGACACTTATATGTCCTTGTTTTGTACATGGAGCATTTTTTTAATAAGGGTGTTTTTGGTCATTAGGAGGGGTATGACATCATCTACATGGGATGTGACATCACCCACATGGAGCATTAGGGATATCTATGAATTCAGTTATTTTTTGGATTGTTAATATTTCGAAATCAAATTCAGATAGGGTTGGTTCTTCAAGTTCAGTTTGGAAAGAACCGGGAGTGTCAGTCTTATAAATTGGATGTTGGACTTGATTTGGAGCCTTTTTAAGTCCTTCAAGAACTATTCTCTCATTATGGGCCTTTTCAAAATCAGATTGAGGAATGGAGGAGGTTGAGGTTCTAGGTGGATTTTTAGGAAGTGTATTTGAAATACTGAGCCTAGTCCTTCTAGAGGATGGAAATTGTATTTCTATCTCTCCATCTGGATATTCAATTATTTGTTCAGGTTCTCTATTTTTAGAGATCTTGATCTGAGTCTTAGGCTGGGGAGACCATTTTTCTGGTAATTTAACCTGTTTCCAAGATATAGACTTTGGTGTTACTAAATTAGATTTATCCATATTAGTCTGAAAGAAAATAGTCTGTCCCTTAGTATCCATTTGCCTAGTATTAGGGCACAAAGTGTTCATTACTTTATAACAGATCCTATAAACAAAAGCTAAGTTTTGAGATCCGGAGTCCATATCAAAACCTTGAGTTTTAAGGTTTAAAGTTAGAACTTTTTATAGATTAGGATCCGATAAGGCTATAGGAA